CCGCTGTCGGCCTCAGCCCTCTCAGGGCGGCGGGGGAAGGAGGCGGCACGAGGTGCATGGCCCTGCGGGGGATGGCGCCGCTTCTTCGTGTTTTCTTGTGTTTGCGTTGAGAGGGGGTTCCCTGTGCGCGGCTGGGCGCTGGGGAGACGCCGCCTCGACAGGAGCGGGGCTGGAGGAAAGGGGGGCGGATTTAAAAAACAAAGTTGTTTTCGTGGTGGCGGACGGCAGAGGGTTGTGGAAGTGTTCATCTCCCTCCTCCTTAGGAAAAGTGAAGTCACTTCCCAAGAACCACAACTAGCAAACTACTCTCCTAACTCCGTGCCGTCTACATGGCTCAGGTTCATCCACTTTTTTTATTGTACATGTGTGGGGCTTAGTTTTGTTTTTTTTTAAATTTTATTTTCTTTTTTAAAATCGATTTTTTTCAAGCTCCCCTCCAGTTAGGCCCTCCCTAAGTGTGATCCGGCGCAAAAATCCTTTTCTTTAGATAGAGCACTTCAGAACCTGCTGAAACCGTCTGAAGTGGGTATGGCACTCTGAATGAGATGGACTTAGCAACTCTGCTCATTTGTAAGTTTGTGAAGTGTGGCATGTACTTTGCTCTTGCTGTCATTCTTTCAAAGCTGCGTTGTTAAGGTTGCTTGGTTTTGATAGTGTTATAAATAAATCATAATTTACCACGTTTCATAGCTGCATGCATGTATTCATCCGTTCTTTTATGTAAGAGGGGAAAAAAGAGACTTCTTCAAAACAGAAACAAATTCAGCAGAAAGTAAGAAATAGCTTGTTTAGGTAAGTGCTGCTTTTCTCTTTCACTGTCAGGCTGTAGTCTTACAACCATGTCGGTGACTTTTCAAATAAAACTTTGGAGAAGGGCAACTGTCCGTTCTGGCTCCAAGGAGAGACCTTGGTGATGTTAGAGGCAACTTCTTTTTTAATCTCTTTAAATTCAGGAAAGGTAACTTGGCTTGGCTTGATTCAGTCTCTGTGATACAGGCCAAAAACCTGACTGCCCGTCAGACCGACTCACACTCCAGATCTTTTGAAGATTTATTGCAAGTATAAGATTAGTTCTGCACATTACACCAGTGTCTACGTTTTTAAGCAGGATTGTAGCCAATACTGTTTGTTTATGTGGGTTATATGGTATTAATGATACTAATTAAGAGGTTAGTTTGCAGTTTGAACTTGAAGGAACTACAAATGTAGTTATGCATACTAAGCACAAATCGACTCCAGTGTTGTAAGAACTGAAGCTAAATTGGAGCATTACTGGAAGTACTCTGCAGTGTATTCTTTAGGATTGTTACAGTGAAATGTATTGCTGGTTAAAAATAGCGTTTGATCCTTTAAAAAGTTATTTTAAAGTGTTTTGGTAATGTTGATAGGGGGATTGCAAAAAGATCCAGGGCATAATGTGGCTTTCTGGAAACAAGTTCCTGGTACATACTCCCCATCTTGAAGACAGTCTGAGCTGTGGCTGCTCCTTTCCTTGTGTCATCAGTGGGACTTCCACAGCTAGGAAGTGATAAGAGAACTAATCTGGTCAAAAAGTAGTACTGTTATTTCTTTTTTTTCCTCCCCGAGTTACTATTTTGGTCAGAACAACTTCCTGAACCAGCTCCTTTGCCTGGTGATACAGACACTGTCTCAGTCCAGAGGATGAAGAAGTGTGTTGGTAGGAAGGAGGGTATAGCTGTGGTCCTGCTACGGTCATGTAAGTTGTGATGGGTGATGCACTTATCTGGGTCATGGTTTTATCATCAGAAAGTTCATGTAGCTATTGGTACGAGAAGCTACCCTGTGGTTTTGATTGGTTTATGGCACTTGTGAAGATAGCAATTGATAGTAAGGGTGGCAGTGCTATCAGTACTTTGATTACATTGATTGTGAAGCCATTTGGCTTTTTTATTTACTTTCAGCAACATTAAACAGACTACCACTTTTAAAGAGCCATCTCTATGTCTCTTCCATGCCTCCACAGAAGTAGCTGTGGTTTTCTCTTCTCTCTCTCCTTTGTATATCCTTTCTTCTCTCTAAACTTTTTGTTGATTCATTAATTTCAAGGAACGATCTGGGCATTGTTAGATAGGCACTTTTGTAAATTTATTCAACTCTAATTTAAAAATAATCAATTGTATATTGTTACTACCTCTGCTATAATTGGAAGTCTATTTCAAACTTGACTGACCTTAGTAATTACACCTTCTGATTCCCAGTCTGGATTAATTTATCATTGGATTATACCCATTTTATGTACCCAATGGACTGATCTGTTATATTGGCACTTTTGGTCTTGGTATCAGTAGTATCAACACTCTTAAATGGATGAAAAAATGTGTTGAAGTGCAACACTGAATGTTTCTTTTCTCTTTTGACCACTACATATATTCGTCTTTCCTGTAATAACCCTGTTTCTCCCCATGAATTTTAATATTAACCTTCTAAGTGAAGATTAAAATGTATGTTTCTAATATTAACACTGAGTTTCATAGAGGTGTCCTTTCAAGGGAGATTAAGATGTTTTCAAGTATATTTTCGTAAGACATGATTTTGAAATTCACACCTTTGGCAGTTTGTTTCAGCCTTGATCTTACTCTGTTACACTGGTACAGCTATTAAAGGAGCTGATACTGTAACCTGAATTGCTGAAGAGATTTTTTTATTCTTTCACAGAGTCTTGGTTCATAAGCAAAGGTTGACGTATTTTGAAAAAGTTTGAAAATTGATTTGTTTCACCTTTTTCTGTATTCTTAACTTTCAAAATAAATAAAACCCATGCATAAATTATTAGAAAATACCTCCATGGTTTTTAAGGTGTTTACTTAATTTATCAGAAATGTTCCAAGAGGGAGAGCTTTGTGAAACTGAAAGAAAAAGTATTTTGGTGGGTGTATATGTGTGACTTTGTAAACAGTACATAAATAAATAAATTGGTTTCCAAAATCTATTTAGATAAATAGATTATTCTGAAAGATGAGTAAGGCCGTTACGGAAACCCTCTACTACATTGTTTCTTTGGTGGGATGTTTCTTGTTCTTTGGAAAGAATAGCAGGGACAAAGGACTTTCTAATTTTTTCAGGTGGACAGTGGAAAAATTAAAGTTTTTCCACAAAGTGAGATGGGCCATAGCTCTCTGCTTTTCTACTCTCATCATCGTTGAAACTCGAATTAGGCTATCAAAGAAGGTCTGGGGTTTTTTAGCTCAAGTAACCTTAAAAGTGCAAAACTGTTCTGATCCTGAAAACTTATGTTCCCAAGTTACAGGGGAAGTGCAGTGGCACAAAAGGAAGAGGTTTTACATTTTTGTGTACCGCATTGGATGCATGCTTACCATACATACAGCAAAACTGAAATTGTTTAATATATGATTAGAAGTGATAAAGTAGAAACAAAAATTGAGGTATTAAAGTTTATGAAATAGAATCATAGGCAGATGAAATAATAAATCCATGAAATAAAATAATTTAGGTTGGAAGGGGCTTCTGGAGGTCATCTAATCCACCTCCCAGTTTATTAAATTAAAGCGAGAGCAATTTTAAATAAGGTTGTTCCTGCCCTTAACACCTTTTTGGGTAACCTGTTCCCATATCTGACTACACTCATAGTGATTTTTTACCCCCCTTTAAGCTAATTGGAATTTACTTTCCAGATTATGTCTGTTGCCTCTTGTCCTGTCACTGTGCACCATCCAGAAGAGTGCAATTCTGTCTTTTTTGCACCCTTCCATTAGACAGTTGACAGCAATCAGGATTCTTCTAAGCTTTTTCTTTTCCAGGCTGCTCAAACTCAGTTCTGTCAGCCTCTCACTGCAGGTCACGTGTTCCTGCAGTCTGGCCAGGTTGGTGGCCTCCACTGGACTTACTCCAGTGTGTCAGTGTTCATCTTGCAGAGGGGAGCCCACAACTGGACCCCGTACTCCAGGTGCTGTACAGAGGAGCTGGATCACTTCCCTGGAGCTGCTGGCTAGACTCCTGTTCATCCAGCCCAGGGCGTGCTTGGCCTTCTTTCCTGCATTGGCACACCGCTAACTTGCTTTCAGCTTTTTGCTTGCTGAGATCTCCAGGCACTTTTCTGGAAAAGTTGCTCTGTATCTGGTTAGTGTCCAGCCTGTCTTGTCACACAGGATTATTCTATCATGGATACAGGACTTTTGCACTTGCCTTTGTTGAACTTCACAAGGTGTTGCTGGTGCTTTCTCCAGCCTGTCCAGATCCCTTGAAGTAGGAGCCCTGCCCTCCAGCAAGTTGACCACTTTGCTCAGTTCGGTGTGATTGTCAAACTTGCTGAGGATACACCCTGTCCATCATCCAGGTAAAAAACTGGTGGTACTGGTTTCAGTGGTAATCCCCAAGGGGCGTGACTGTAACCACTTGTTACCAGACTCGGTACTGCTGATTGCTGTTCTTTTAACCCAACAGTCCAGTTGATTTCCTGAAAACCTTCTTACTTACTTACCCAGTGCTGTGTCTCACCCACCAGTCTGGCTGTAAGGAATTGGTAGGAGACTGTTGTTAATGGCTGTGGGAGCTATGGACACGCGCACGACCAGTATGATCAAGCAATGCCAATTTATTGAAGGTAAGCAAGCCCTTTTATAGGTTTCTCCTGTGCATGCAAACAGTACGTGGTACAGTTAGCTTTGTCCACATGCTTCAAACCTTCTCGCGATTGGATAATAAGTGTCACACTCAATGTCTTTCTCCACCCAACCCATCTCCTGGAGCTGTTTGCTGAGTTCTTTGTTCTGTGTCCTTGTCATGTCCTTGCCGAGGTGTGCACATGTGTAGGATTGCTTACATGTCCATTATCTCCCAACAAATGGCCACCAGTATTCAGTGCTCTTCCATCACCTGCTAAGTCAGTCATCCTCTTGCAATAAGCTATTGTGTTCATCAGGCTTCATTTGCCCTTGGTAAATCTATGCTAGCTATTCCCAATCA